TTCAGTTGTTCTCTTCTGCTTCATCTGCTTTGTTGTGTTCCAGTCCAGTTGGTGTAGATTCCCCAGATTCTGGTGGTGTCCTGCTTGTCCTTCTGTTGTTAGGTGTTTTCTTGTATTGCTGTCTTCCCATAGCTTCTTCCAGTAGGTTTTGGTGGAGTCTCTCCCTCTCTTTATGGTACTTTCCCAGTGGGCTTAGGTACGTCAGAGGTTTGATGTCTATAGCTCTGGGTGGTGCAAGCTCTCAATGTCGTCTCTCCACTGGCAGGGGCCCAGCAATGGAGGTCAAAGATCAGGCTCCAGCAGAGACTGGTGATGGGAGTCAAGATCTAGAAGCCTGGACTCAGTATGTTCAGTAAGCTGATAGGCAGATCTAGCCTGGGCATGGCACTCCCCAACTGAGGCCTTTTTACCAGTGTCCCTGCAAAGGGGATCAAGGATACAGCCCACTGGAACTCAGAGCAGATCCACAGAGTTAGGCTGATCTCTGGGAGTGGCCCAGAACTCCAGTATAGGACTGTCAGTGGGGGTCAGAGACCAGGCAGGAGGAAATTACAGGTTGTCCCGTGTGGATAGACAGGTCTAGTATGCTCAGCTCAGCTCCAGAAGTTCCCTGAAGGTGGCAGGATTGTTGGCTCCACCCTCTGTCCCAGTGCTCAACCAGAGTCAAGGGACTGTGGGCAGGTTAGGGCACAGGGTAGGGGGAAGGCAGGCTCTGGGTGGGGGTGTATCAGAGCTCCAAGATTACTCTCGATGGGGACAGGACACAGGGGCATTGAGATCCAGGGCCATCCCAGGGAAGGGTGTAGGGGAGAGTCCACCCAAATTGGTCTGAGACTCACCTCTAGCCAAGGCCTGGTGATGGGGGAATACTCAGGATGTTTCTGCACAGATAGGCAGATCTAGCTGGGGCCTTGCAATCTCCAGCACAAAGAATGGTTTTCTTAGTTGTGTGTAATGGTGCATGCCTTTAATCACAGCACTTGGGAGGCAAAGGTTTTATACCCTAGCACTGCCCTTAGACTGGTCTATGTAGTGAGTTTTAGGACAGTCAAGGCTATATAGTGAGATCCTGTCTCTATAAAGAAACACATTGTCTTGTATTTCAGCAAACGTTTCTCATAATGAGTTAAATGTACATTCTGTATAATGTCCATCAGACAATATAGTATTTTATTGATTTCCATACACTGATATGTAAAATTTAATCTTAGCTAGTGGCCTGTATGTATGAATAAAACAAAAGGTAGGTGGCAGGCTACATTTTTCCTATAGGCCATACATATCTGCTTATTTTTGAAGGCATGACATTTGTTTAATGAAAGGCTAACTACAAAAAATTACTCATAGAATCATGGATACTGTTTGGCTGAAAGGTATCCATTTGTGCCAAAATAATCTCAAAATTGTCCATACTATTTATGTTATACTCTTCCACTGTCTGGTGTCAATAAATTCTGTTTCACTTTGGTAATGACATCAACACATGAACATAAGTTTTATTGAGGCTACAGGGATGCCTCAGGAATTGAGTAATGCTGTTTTTGCAGAGGATGCAAGTGCAGACTCGAGCATCTGTATCTGTAACTCCAGTTCCAGAGAAATTTGATGCCCACTTTAGACTCCCACAGGCTCCTGTGCACATATGCACATCAACTCATGCAGTGCCTGATAGTAAGCAGCAGCCTGCTGACCCCAGCCCCCAATGATGGGTGGGATGCTCATGGCCATGTCATTGCTATTTCAAGCTTTACCTGGCTACCAGAGGACTCAGTCACGTATGCGCAAGCCCCCCTTTTAAAGCAAGCCCGCCAAGCATGCCTCTCTCTCTCTCTCTCTCTTGCTCTTTCTCTCTGTTCTTTCTCTCTCTCTTTCCCCTGCTTTCAGTTGGCCACCAGCTACCCCCTTAATCTCCCTTCTCTCTATAAAATCCACGTGGGTGCTGAGTCTTGTGTTTGTGTTTCTTAGGCAAAAGTTGTATCAAAAGAACAACAGTGCCCCCCACATGCACATGAATAGAAATACTAAATCTGTTTTTTTTTTTAATCTTCTTTGTCATATTAAGATACACTGACAATATTTATTTATTTATTTTCTCATTTATTTAATTGTTTTAACATTCTGGAGCAAGTGTTTACATGGATATATATTTTTTCACAGTTATTACATTAGTATGTTTACTTTTAGCATTTTAAGACCTGAAAACTGCTCTCCAAAGTGTTCCATTTAACTTTTTCTTACCAGTGTACCTTTTCATTGCCCCACATAGATTTGCTCTAGTGGTCCATTTAAACAAAATATATCAAAACACAAATACCAAAACCAAAAAAAAAAAAAACAAAAACAAAAACAAATTTATTCATTCTTTGTGGATTTCCCATCATGCATTCCAATCCAATTCATCGCCCCATCCCTTCATGTCTGCCTCTTTCCTTGCAACCCCCACAAAAATAAGATTTAGAAGAAAAATAAACAATCAAAACCAAACAAACAAAACCCCCAAACCAACAAAACAAACAAAAACAAAAAACAGAAAATATTGGGATGGAAGTTTTAGTGGGTCCCAAACAGTCACATAACATATACCCTTTAGTCCATAAAACTTTATTTTTAAGTGTTCATGGGTTACTGATCTGGTTTGTGGTCCCTGGGTTCTACTGCATTATCAACACTGGGCCCTCACTGGGATTTCTCTTGGATATCCTATTGTTGCCTTGTGTCATGGATATTTTGCAGCTTTTTATATGCAGGTCTAGCTCCTTCACATGTTCCAGCAATTCATAGATGAGGTGGATGATGGAGTAGGCTAACTCATAGCACTGTGTCTGGGCCTCAGTTGTAGCTGGGTTGGTCAGACCACCAACTTTTCCTCCTCATCACAACCTGGACAAGCTCTCACGTATGGCCCTGGGATGGCACACACAATATAGCCAGTTGTCTTGCTCTCACATCGTCGGGGCCAGCTCAGATGTTTCCACACCACTAGGACAAGCTCTACTAGTAGTTTGGTCCAAGCCTGGTGCAGGTCCCACTCTCCCAAGTACTGCTACAGCTGGTGAGATATAGTGCCAGGTCTCCTGCCTGATGCAGGTAGCAATGGGAGGGTGACATCTTTACCTCACCCATACCACCACATGGTATATTGGGATTGGAGTGGTGTTAGCTGTCCTGATCTCCTGCCTTCAGGGATAGCTTATCTGCATCTTTGTCAACAGAGCCAGCTGTACTGTGCTGCCTGGGCAAGGTGCAAGGTCTGTTGTCCCAAGTGTTACAGTCGGTGAGGGTTAGGACCAGCTCTCCAACCCTCATGAACTCCAAGCCAGCTCTCCCACTTGCCACAGGCAGTGAGGGATGGGGGAGAGGGACAGAGTCTGGACTCTCACTCTCATTATCTTGATATCTGCTTTTCCACCTTCAGTAGGTAGAGAGGGGAGAGAGGCAAGAGGGACATCTCACCCCTCTCTCTGCATCACAGACAGATAATGGGTTAGCTCTCCCATTCTCATGTCCTAATGGCTGGCTCACTCCTACCAACACCAGTGGGGTCAGCATTAATGTGCTGTCCAGATGATGTTCAGGGCCTCATCTTGTTTTCCCAAGTACTGCAGTTGGTGAGGGGCAGGACCAGTTCTCCTTAGTGCTGCAGCCAGTGAGGTATAGGCTCAACTCTGTACGGCCCTATCTTAACTTTCTTTGGTGGTAACAGGAGCCACAGACATCAACACAGATATGACCCTAGGCAGCAGCACAGGCCTAGATGACACCACTCAGATCTGTATGGCCTCAGCAGTATCATGGCTCTTTGGCACTAATGTAGCCCTAGGTGGTAATCATGAATCCTGATGTCTGTGTGGCCCTTAGGGGCAACATGGGCCACCGATATAGACACATAACTTGACTGCTTTTGGACCACAGACTAAGACACTGTCTTTCAAAGCAGCCTGGGCTGGATGTCATCATGTTCCCAGGTGGCAGCCCAGATCCTGGGCATCTGCATGGCCGATGGCAACAGGAGCCTTCGACATCAACACAGTTTCTGGCTGTACACCAACATTATTTATGCAATGCAATATAGAATCATAAGAAATATAAGGGTTATATAAACATGTGCACTGTAGTAGTTTGAGTGTAATTGGTCCCCATAAGCTTAGAAGGATGGGCATTATTAGGAAGTGTGGCATTGTTGGTGTGAGTATGGCCTTATTAGAGAGTGTGTCACTGTGGGAGCAGGATTTGAGGTGTTTTTATGCTTAGGATACCAGCAGTTGACTTCTTGTTGCCTGCAAGATGCAAGAACCTCTGAAACTGTAAGTGAGCCTCTCCAATTAAATGCTTTCTTTATAAGTACTGCCTTTTCACACCAATAGAACTCTTAACTAAAACCGACAGCAATAAAAAAAAATCATTATCTAGCATATGGTATTACGAATATTAGCTATGAAATATAGTGAGCCTTTTAGGATTACACACTTAATCACTGGTCTTTATAAATAATGTCAGGACTTTATCTCAAATACCAACATTGTTGTTTAAAATACTGTTATTAAAATCATGGTTCAAAAACAAACAAACAAACAAACGAACACCTACTTTAAAATCACAGTTCAGAAGGCAGACCATGGTAGTGGATGCCTTTAAATCCCAAGATTTGGGAGGCAGAGGCAGGCGAATCTGTGAATCCCAGGCCTGCATGGTATACAGAGAGAGTTCTTGGATAGCCAAGGCAACACAAAGAAACCCTGTCTCAAAAAACCAAAATTCAAACCAGAAAGTAACATTCATATTTAAGCCATGTACTTTAAAAGTAAAAAATTCCAACTCTTGTACCAAAAATCCATTTTACAACAAAAACATGTCAGAAATGAACTACATCCTTTTAAAATACTATAAAAAAGACAGCAATAAAAAAGCAAGAAAGTGGATTATGATTATCCCTCAAAATTGAGATAACAAACAAAATATCCAATTCTACTTGAAAGCAAGGAATGTTTATTTTTTAATTATTATTTATGCTTTTTAACTAAAGGAGCACCTTTAATAGTAGAAGACACTCCTGTACTTCGAAGTTTAGCATTTTCACGAATAAAATTGTGTCGAATTGGTGGCATGCTGTCATATGTCTTGTTAGTAGCATCGATTTTGGCTTTTATATGTACCATTGATTTTGGTGATGGAGGTAACCCATTTATTTCATACAGCCAATATATTTCATCTGTCTGAAAATTGAAAGGGAGGGAAATTGTAAGAAATATCCAGAGACATAAAAGAGTTAGGGAAACATTTATCATTATTAGGAGTTTCGATTTTTTGTATGTGGCAATGGAAAGATAAAAAAATTAAAGTTGAATCTAAAACAAAAATAATTAATACAGAAATAAATTTAGTAAAGCTATTGGCTTTATGAATAAAGGAACATTCACTGACAAGAAAATCTCTTATCTAAAGGTCTGCCATGTAAGTAAACAATGACTTTCAAGATGTACATTTAAATGAATATTTAATTGTGATCACAGAAATAATTAGCAAATTACAGTAATGTGATTTTTGGATTATGAAAGGCTAAAGCATTAAAAATTTATTTATTTATTTATTATTTACTTATGGTCTTTAGTCACCCACATTTCTCTGGTGTTTTCATTTGAGTCAAATGTCTGATGCAATTTCCAATAGCTAGTGCTTGCAACTCTTTGACTTTTTCTTCCCAGAAACTCCAGCAGATGTTTCAGCTGGTTTTGGATCCTCAATCATCTCTGAGTCCATTCCTCAAATAAATAATTGCAGTGGTATAAAGTGGTATATAAAATCCCTATATTCCTGCCCGATTTGGGTGTGAATTTTTCAAGGTTTCTAGAGCCCATTGATTTGACTAGGTTGGCTGGCAAAGGGACTCCAGTGATTTGCCTGTCTCCTCCTTTTCACGGTGGGGCTACATGTGCCACTGTGCCTAAATTCTTAGCAACATGGCTATTAGAACTCAGCTGCAGTATTTACTAAGAATTTTATTTAGACATTCAGGAAAACTGATTAGATTTTCTACTCCTCTGGAGCAGCACTACTTTTGATAAAATAAATGGAACAAATTAACTTCATTCTATCAATGCTAATGATATCTGTTTTGTTTCCTAATTGGAGAACAACAGGTTTTAATCATTTTAAAGATGATTCAGTTGAATAAAAAATTATAAGGCATAAGAACATGATTGTGGAGGTTTGTCTAGTCAAGATTAATTAAAACTATTTTTACAAATTATTCCTTTTCCTGGGTGAAGTAGAATGAAGAACATAATGTTGTAACTACCATTTTAATGCTTAACCTAAGTATGTAGAAATGGCAATGGTGTAAATATCAATTTTAATTTAGATAACAACTTGAATTTCTGAACTGAAAAATGATAGTAAGTAGAGATGTTGTTGAAATTAACTGTAATTTGGAGTCAAAGTGTATCAGTTTTTATTTTTAAGATGGGTTACTTGATATATGTAATGACTCTTATGAATCTCCAAGGTAATTCTGCTTAATATACCAGTTTTAAAAGTTTGTACAGTGGAATATTATATTTATAGGTAGACTTTCATCCCTAGGACCCAGACAATTGTAGTAAAGTGCTAACTTCAGCAAATTGTCCTCTCAACTTTACCACACCCACCATGTCTTTTACCTGCTCCCTCCTACAAAGGAATATATGGAAAACAATTTAGAAAACCAAAAGTAGTATAAGGACTCTAATATTAATTTAAATATTTAGGTATATTACTATACATTTTTAGAATATAATAACTGGAGGAAAATAAAGTCTTCATAGAACTGTTTGTGCCATGTTTATAATTTCCATCAAGTCGATACATATTTCTCAAAACAAAAAATAGATTGAGGATTTATCTATAAATTTTAACACTAAATATTTGTAATAGGGTTTACCATATGATTTGTTATCTACAAAGAGGGCAATGAGTATATGAAATGATATATCCTATTTTTGCACATATTTGGAATTTTACATAATAAAAATTAAATAAACAAGTTAATATTTCCTTTCCTTCTCTAGTTTTGAATTGATTCTCACACCGCAGTTCAGGCTAACTTCTAAATCAGAATCCTTTAGATTCACCTACTGAGTGCTGAGATTACAAGTATGTCACAGAAATTCTGGAAAAAATATTATTTAAAAAATATATTTCAATGTCAAATTGTCTCCCACATAACCTTTTATCAATATTTCAAGTAGTGGAGGCAATGAGTAATATGCAGCAAGGCAAAAGAGGTTTCATTGCTGATGTCCTAGATTTTATAAAATCTTAGAACAATGAAAAAAGCAGTTCTCTCAATCACTAAAATTTATTTTCAATAATCATTAAAATAATGACATTTTCTTCTGTTAATGGCAGTGATTAATTGTTATTTGATTTAAAAATTTAGGGATATCTTTGGCAGCAGGAGTTGTAGGGTTATAATATGACATTATGTGCTTTGTGTATATGTAACTAAAAGTAAACTATAGAAACAGTTATGTTTTTCAAAGAATTTGAAAGTTGTCTTTACAACAATTTTCTCACTATAAAATATTATAAAATTCTATGAAGACACTTCCTTACTGGATAAATTTTCAAAACTGCACTTACCTGAATTGTTAGCAAAATACTATCACAGAAATAAATTATAATGCATTTTTATTTAAAAAATTTACTATCTATTTTACTTCAACATTTTGAAGACATGCTTTAATCAATGCTTGCAGAAGGTATGTTTCAGATAATATAAAGTCCTTTAAATTTATTAAAACAAAAAGTCAACTGTAATTATATAAATCACATATACATTTAGTCTCCCATACTTTCTTTTTTAATTTTATTTATTTATTTTTCTTATTTTACATATTGATCTCAGTTCCCACTCTCTCCCTGCCTCCCTCCCTCTCTTTTCCCTCCCTTCCTCCCTCCTTCTCTTTCACCCTTCCATGCGCCCCGACCACCCTCCAATCTCACCACCCCCACAGGTAGAGTGATGCCTTCCTGGAGGGGTCATCTAAATCTGTCAAGTACGGACTAGGCCCTCCCTCCTGCCTCCATGAGGAAAGTGCTCCCATAGTCATTTTGTGCCCCAGGTTCCACTGTCTGAGGTCCCTTAGACTGCCCAGGCCTCTAAATGAGACCCATGTTCAGGGGAGTCTCAGTCAGTCCAATGCTGGGGTCCCATTAGCTCCTCCTTGTTCAGATCAGCTGACCCTGTGGGTTTTTGTAACATGGTGTTGTCCTCCCTCTCTGCATATGGATTCCAGTTCATCTCAGTGTTTAGCTGTGGGTGTCTGCTTCTGTTTCCATCAGCTACTAGATGAGGGCTCTAAGATGGTGTTTAAGTTAGTTATCAACCTCATTATCAGGGATGGGCATTTATGGTAGCCTTTCCACGGTTACTCAAATTGTTAGTTGGGGTCAGTCTTGTAGGTCTCTGTACATTTCTCTAGAGTCAGTTTTATCTTGAAACCTATAATGGCTCCTGCTTTTATGGTCTCTCTATCTATCTATCTATCTATCTATCTATCTCTGCCTCTCTCTCTCTTTCACTCCCTCTTTTTCTCTCTTCTATTCCTCCCCTGACTCAATCTTCCTGGTCCAATGTGCTTTCCTATGTATTTTCTTAATAGTAAATGTAAGTAATTCCTTAAATTTTTCTAGTATTAACAAAGTATTTTCTTGTATTCCATACCTACATTATTTGGCTTTGAAAATTAAAGGTTGTGTTTTATAAAACTTACCTGTATTACAAGTGTTGCTTGATATTTCTTACTATACATTTGGGGTTTAAATCCTACAATGATGAGAATTCCTTTTGTGTAAAATGGAGGGAGTTCTCCAGAATGAGGTTTTACAAAAAAATCTCGATCACCACCTGGCAGAAAATAGGCTGTAAATGGCTCATAATACCTAGAAAAAAATGAATGAATTCCATCATCAATTGGTCATTAACTCATTGACTCTGTGAGAAATTGATGGCTATATCATAAATTGTGCTCCAACATACCCATAGTTCAAAATTAATGCTGAATGCTTACAAAATGTGCGAGTTGGCATTTGGAAAATTACCAAATAGAGTCTGTCCCAGTTTTTTTTTAATAATACACTAATATCAAAATAACTTAGGAAGGAAAGTTATTTTGCAATCATTTTCTGTGATTGAAGCAAGTCAGGGCAGGATTTTAATCAGGGGCAGAGGCAGGAAACAGAGAAAGACTACTTACTGGGTTGTTTCCTCATACTTATAAAACCCAATGATGGGGACACCCATAGAGGGTTTAGCTTTCTCAAGTTAATTATTAGTCAAGGCAATGACTAACAGAGAAGCTCATGGGCCAATCTGATGGAGGGGATTTCTCAGCTGATGTTCCCTCTTCATATGTGCCTCTATAGTTAGTGTCAAGTTGACAAAAATTAACTAGCATACTGTTATTTTTATTCTCAGGGTTGCAAAATAAAATCCTGAAGATTTTTTCATTTATACCCTATGTTCATATTATATTAAGATAAATATTGCCCTAATAAAAATTGATTGAACTCAGTACACCAGATGAAAACTTAGTCATTTGCAAAATAAACTTATTTATAAAAAAAACTGACAAGTAAAGCTATGATAAAGTCTTTTGTCTCTACTGTTGTTCCATTATACTATTTTCTTATTTACCAGTAGCTATCTACTTGCTAAGTACTTGGAAATTACTAAAGTCTCACTAAACATTTATACATTTATAGGTATGAAGATAAATTATTAAAGTATGAAGTGGATTGACAATTATGTTTCAAGTTACCATTTCATGTCATGATAGGCAATGAGAAAAAGAATGTAAATTAAGTTGAGGAATTGCATAGTTTAATAAAACAGGGTAGTGCTATGCTGCATAAAAACTTTAAGTTAAGAATTTAAGTTAAATTAATAGAGATGTATAAAAAATATCAAATGTGGCTTCTAAAAACAGGCACGATAGTGCAAAACTGAAAAAAAGACATAGGAAGGTTTACTTGTTATTCTCTGATCTAATCAACAAACAAGTATTGAGTGTCATGGTGGAAGATTGGAGAACATGTTCTGTACATTTGGGTGGCATGGTTTGAATCATATTTCTATATAGCATTTTAGGAATTTTACTTAATCTTTTTGTACCCATTTTGCCATTTCCTCAGTTAATAAAGTCACAATGGCTAACACCTGGAAAGTTACTTGAAAGGATTAACTAATATTACTTTAGTCATCATCATTGTGATTTTAAAATCTTTTATAACCAGTGCTAGGAAATGATGGGTGATACAATAAATGAGGGGAATAACACAGATTACTTAAAAGAATTACAACATGAACATGACAGACAGATATTGACAGGAAGCCATAAGTCTTCCTTATCCTGAGAGACATGCATTCAGAAATAATATATCAAAGAATTCTCTGTGAGGAACTGAGAAACCAGTTAAGAAGATGGGGTTACAGTTGTATAATTGCCATGTTTGTCTACCAGCTTCTGTTAACAAATGATTGAAAGGATTGTTGTTTTTGTTTCTTTGTTTGTTTTGTGACAGGTTTTCTTGGATCTTAGGCTTTAAAACTTTGCCTATTCTTCCAGGTGTTGAGGCTGTTTATGATTTTGGCAAGTTTATGCAGTGTTGGGCATCAAACAAAATCCTTCCTGTGTGGTAGGCAAGTTCTCTGCCAATTGAGCTATATCCCCATCCCACAGACTTTTTAAAATGAGAAAAACTAAAGTAGGAAAGAAATTAAAGTAAATAAATACTCTTAATGGATGTCTCAGAAATCAAAAGAAACACAATAGATTACATGATATTATATTTAATAACATTTGAATATTAAGAAGGAAATGTACCAATTCTTAGAAAAATAAAATATATCAATGGACTGGTTCAATAGTTCTGTAGAAATGATTTTAGTAATAATCTAAAATTTTCCTTTGAAGAGCAATTCGAAGAAGAGCTAGTATGAACAGCATCGATCCTTTTTAAAACTCACCCCAACTAACTATACATAATATTACACCTCCAAAAAATATATGAAAAACAAACTTCATCCAGAGTTATCAGAATAAAAGATGTAAGTTGGCGTAAATGTAAATGAATGAAAACGTAAAAAACAGTAAAATTATGAGTTGGCTAAAGTTCAATCAAGTCAACAGAAATATAGCCATGTTACCTTAAAAAGAATGACGTTTAAAGTAAATAAAAGTCAAGGGTAGACTATAAGAGACATTTTAGAAATAAAAATGATCATCAGAAACTAGTTAGCACAATTCTAAGCTCAGACTAAGAGAAAGCTTTAGAGTGAATGGCAAGTTATCTATAAATATATAATCTCTACAACTGACAAAGAAATAGAAAATCTAACCAGACTTTTAAATAACAATGAGATTATATCAGCCAGAGAGTTTCACTAATTTTAAATGCTTATTACATGTTAATTTTTGTGTATATATGTGTATGCACATATGTATGTGTGTGCATACATGTATCAATGTATATGTTTACATATACACAAATGTATGTTTGTGTGTGTGTACATGTGAGCCAAGGATCATATGTGGATGATAAAAGATATCTTGTGGGAGTCAGTTGTTTTCTTCTACTATGTGGACTTGCTATGGTTTGGACTTGCCAGGCTTGGGGACAGGATCCTGTACACACTGAACTATCTTGCTAGCCCATCTAACATGTTCTTTAAAGAAGAGTTAACATATACCCTATCAAACTCATCAATACTGAAAAGAAATCAAATAAAAAAATTCCTATCTCATGGAATGAGGCCATTACAAACCTTATTTTAAAAACAGATACTGACTGAGTAAAAAAATAAAATAAAATTATAGGTGAGAATCTTTGATGAATACAGAACCAGAATCACACTACTAACAAAAACAACTAGCACATTTAAAGGATTATACATGGAAACCAAGTACATTTTCTTTTTGTAAGAAAACAAAAATAAAATAATCTATACAAGGAAGATGGTACATGAATACTCATGGGCTGCTAGAACCTCTAAGGAATACACCAGGATTAGCTGGAGAACTGATAGACTAGTAGGAGTGTGATGGCAGAAATACATTGATGTTAGTTGTAAACAGACAAAAGAAAGTAAAAATTAGAACAAGTGAATTCAGAATCTATTCCAGGGGGCACAGCCCCAATTAGAGTATATTCTTCACTCCATGTGAGGTCCAGAACATCTTAAGGCCTTGCCTCAGAAAATTCAGTTCCTCAAACCCAAGCAATTGTTAGGATAAAGGGTTGGTCTCTACAAACTGATAGCTGAACTGTATTGCCAAGAACAATGTCGACAAAAGTCACTGAACATGGAGAAGTAGAGCTGGTATGTACATGGAGTCTGCACCCCTATGTTCTAGTGTCTTTGGTGTAGGATGATACTCTGCATGCTATTGAAATAGAAACATGAACACCAACCAAGCCACAAAACTTTTGACCTAAAATCTGTGCTGCTTGCAAAATATACTAGGACAATAGTGGCATAGAACTTGGAGTAGAAAACTAGTGTTTGATTTGACTTAAGGTACACTCCATGAGATTGAATCCATATCTGACACTGATTAGGTAACCCAGAACCAGAGAGACCAGATAACCCAGAGACCTAGGGTAAAATCAAACATGGCTGATAAAAAAAAGAGAGAGAGAGAGAGAGAGAGAGAGAGAGAGAGAGAGAAAGATCACTAAAATTCAAGTCTTAACTATATTCCCTTTACTCATAAAACAGTGTCTTATCCAGTCCTCATCAGAAAGGCTTCCTCCAGCAGCAGATGGGAACAAATGCAGAGACCTGAAGATGTTATGTGTAGAGAGAGACTAAACTGAAGGTTTCCACAAAATCTTGCAACTCCGAGTTAAGAGAATCCCATGGAAGAGAAGCCACAAGATTTTAAAGAGTCAAAGACAATAGTGGATACCAGGAGAACAAAGCCCTTTGAATAAACTAAACAAGGCACATATGACCTCATAGAGACCGAAACAGCAATGGCAGGGTCTACATGGGTATTCATGAGGTCCTATGCATATGTATTATAGATATTAGGATGGTAATTTTATGGTACTCTTGACTATGAGAATGAGTAAGTCTCTGACTCTTGTGCCTGTTATTGGACTCCTTCTGTTTGATTGCCTTTTCCAAATATCATAGTTTTTACTTTATATTACTATATTTTATTTGTCACGTTTGGATATTAACACTTAGAAGCATATCATTTTATAATGAGAGACAGAAAGTGTGTGGATCTGGAAAGGGAAGAAAGGTGGGAAGAAACTGGGAGTAGACAGAATGGACACAAAAGGAGAAAATAAATGACACAACAATAAAAACAAGGTGGGGGGGGCAAGACAAAACGGCAGCCCACAGACTGGGAAAAGTTTTCACCAATCCTACATCTGACAAAGGGCTGATCTCCAAAATATACAAAGAACTCAAGAAACTAGTCAACAAAACACTAAATAACCCTAATAAAAATGGGGTACAGAACTGAAGAAAGAATTCTCAATAGAGGAAATCAAAAAGGCTGAAAGACACTTAAGAAACTGCTCAACATCCTTAGGTATCACAGAAATGCAAATCAAAAGAACTCTGAGATATCATCTTACTCCTGCCAGAATGACTAAAATTAGATTCACCAATGACAACTTATGCTGTAGAGGATGTGGAGAAAGGGGAACACTCCTCCACTGCTGGTGGGAGTGCAAATGTGTAAAGCCATTTTGGAGATCAGTATGGCGATTCTTCAGGAAAATGGGAATTAGTTTACCACAGGACCTGGCAATCCCCCTCTTAGGCATATACCCAAATGATCCACATCCATGTGACAAAGACATGAGCTCAACTATGTTCATAGTTTCCCCTCAACTGAAGAATGGATAAAGAAGATGTGGCA